CTAAACGGTAGGAAGGGGCTGGGGGGAGCTCTATCTTGCAGGGGCGTCACAAGGTGGGGGCTGAATGTCTCAAAGAGGGTAAGGGCGGAGTAGGGGGTTGCCCTATTCTGGGGCAGGGGCTGGTGCGTGGGTCAACATCAGTCCGTGCGGAGGCAGAAATGGGCAAGGGGCGGGGGCGCATGCTTTAGCTGGGAACTGCGTGCTCCTGGGGAAAGGGGGGTAGAGGGTTGGGTCCTATATATTGGGGCCGAGGGAGAGTGGATGACTAACCTGGGCGGAGGCAGTGTAGGGCTGAGGGGGGAGGGGTAGGAGGAAGGAGGGGCAATCTCTCTCGAATAAGTCTAACATCCAGTTTATTATTTCTTTCCAGTTGGTTTGCCTCTCGAAGGGGTTGTAGGAATAGGTGCTATCTGGCAAGTCATCTGTGATCCTGCGAAGGGTGGTTGAAAATTCGGTGGCCCTCGAAGACCAATGCTGGAGCAACACTGGCCGGAGTCGGAGCCAGGTGGCACAACTCTGCGACCAAGCTTAGTGGGGGCGTGAGGCCTGGTAGAGAGAGCTCTGGGGGGCTGTTTGCGGGGGCAGTCTCAGTGGTCATCGGGTGTCATAACTAGAGCAATGCTGGCCGGTGCTGGAGCAAGGTGGTGCAACTCTGTAACCTAACCTGATGGGAGCATGAGGCCTGAAAGAGCTTTGATTCGTGCTGAAAACAGCCATGCTGGTGGTGGTCGTAGGTGGATTGAATAGGTTTCGTATCTGATTCGCGGTTGGGAGGCTTTTTGACACACATATTCTAGTTACTTGGTAGAGTCCGAATAGTGGAGAAAAAGTCGGTTGTTCTTATGAATGTCTTAGGACTCTAGGGTCTCGTAGCAACCCATCTTAGGCGGTTTCGATGCTGTTATACTCGGTGATCTGCGGCTGTTCGATGCCAGAACGACGCTGGCCGGTGCTGGGGTGTTGCCCTGTAACCTGCTGATTGCAGGAGCGTGAGGCCTGGTAGAGAGATCTGGGGATGCTTTGGGGTGGGCACCCCAAGGGACAGCCGACGGTTGCGACTGGGACGAGGCTGATCGGAGCTGGGGCGAGTTGTGTTGCCGTGTAACCCAGCACGGTGGGGGCGTGAGGCCTGGAAGAGCTCATCAGGGAGTAAGACTGTGTTGGAAAGTTTTAGAAGGGCTTGTTAGGGATCCCGAGGGTTGTGAGCATTCGTAGGACCTCACTGGTCGCCTTTTGCATGAGCAGTTCCTTAACAGGTCGTTAGATATTCATGATCCTCCCCATGCTTTCTGAATCATATCGTGTTCACTCGATCTGTACAATTC